ACAGCGCGGTCATGTATGATTCAGTCTCGGGGAGGTGATTGGCCATGCCGGACAGATACTGACGTGTGCGCAACTGCTATGCATCGCGAGAGGCGATAGATTGAGCGTTGTAGTCGGAGTTAGACCACTACAGCTTTATTAAAAATCTTTTGATGAGAACACTAAAGGCACTTCGGAGTGAGCTCTTTTAGCGTTAAGGGGAAGTCAGTATTGGGAGTTGCAGCATCAGGTCACCACTTAAGGGACTTTTAAGCCTACTGAGTGCTGTAGGTCTGCGGTTTAAATTACTTTTATGTTGACTGCTTCCCTCCCCCCTAAGTCGGTCAAAAGGATAAGCTGCATTTTGGACAGGCAATAGGAGGATCAGGTGACTGGAAGTTTATTTCATATAGCCTAGAGGTGCTATCGCATAAAATGTTAATTGAAATACCGAAAAGTCTTCTCGATTCGAAAAGGTTACTTAGATGGGGTCATAATAGTAGGCACCGTGTAGGATAATCCATGGATATTCCAGTCATTTCATTGTGCCGGGTTTTCGAACGAACTTATTTTCGTCCCCTTACAAAAACCGCATAAAGAAAGGGTTCCGTTCAGTTAAATTTTATTTAGAGAATGATAGTCAGATGACTTTGAGGTGGCTAAGAAATGCATTCATACAGCTGAAAATTCAAAAGAAAGGTTGTTTACAGAATAGCGGGCGGAAAACGAGTAGTCGTAGGTTAGTCAAAAAGAGTAAACATACACTACTACTCATTTATTACGAGTACATATGTAAGTATCACTTCAGGAAAGGTACCTTGGCTTATCGACGATGCCAAATGACATGAACCAGAACAGAGAGGTATTCTGGGGTTTTAAAAACTTTCTCAATTATTAAGGAATTTTGAATCTAATCTGCAGTTGCGGTCGCTCTTAGCTTTTCAAATCCACAGGCTTCACAAATTCCGTCAGAGGAAGATCGCACATTTTTACGTTTTTAGGAAGATGTTATGAGGTTGTGATGGATGTGAACCATCCTGTTACTCGACAAGCAATATGCATAAATGCATGGATCGGATGCTTTATGTATGGATATTTCACGGTCGGAAATAATCGCATAATGAAGACCTTTTTAAAACCGTTATCATCCTTATTATTTCTTTTAGTATATAATTTGAAGCAGACACCTTATGCTACCAGCTGAGTACAAGAAGGAATACTTTCTTGCATACCTCCTATAAAATATACTTAAATACAAGGACGATGCGAAAAATTCACTGTACGAATAACGTGTGGGTAATACTACAGCCTTATTTAATTGGCATAACCGCTTCTTATTTTGTAGGAGTGAGCATATTTGATTTATTTTTTTGCATAGGCGTAAAAATCACACTACATCATTCTTCATTTTTATAGAGGATAGTTTTTTTCTGAGGCCAAAAGGAAGCCCGTTCAAAAGTCGACATCCTGAGAGGACTGAAATATAATAGGATTATTTTGCAGAGTAATTAATATTAAAATCTTAGTTAGGTAATCATTTCCGAATCGAAAACACATTTATTAATTTCGGTTAAAATTTCTTAAAAAACACATCTATTGTATGCACATATTAACAATGTTGGAAGTGCGTTTACCGGGCAGGGTATAAAATGTGGTCGCCACGATCTGTGGCCATGGGCGCAGTTGTGAAGCCATTAGTACTATATAGTACATAGTACTGAGGAGGAAAAGATTGCCGCTGGACTGAGCATTTCTTATTCGCGCCCAAGACTGAGGTTGACGATAGCTATTAAGCATGGAGCGACCATCTCAGTCCACGGTGCTCCATCCCCTTTGCATATGCTGTCGTTGCTGTTCTTATGGAGACGTTTCGGTCACTGGTGTTTTGTTTTTTCTTCCAGTTTCTCCTGAGACAGCGCGATGTAAAACCTACGCGTAGTAGACGCGCCAATGTGGACATTCAACAGGGTCAGCTCTGTCTCACCTTCACCTTCTACGCCACCCCGAGACAGCGCTTTGCGGCACTCATTCGTGCCGCCTTCACTTCAGGCATCAGTCTTGGCTACGAGGATGTGGTCTCTCAGGTCACAACGGCGGAGAAATTGACTCATTTGGTGCGTTTTGGACTTCAATTGAGCAACTGGAAGCTGCGTATCAACTCCCTCGATGGTAGCAGCGACTAGTTCCCCAAACTCATTCTCTCTCTCTTCCCCTGCTCCCCCCAACTCTGGGTGAAAACACGAAATCGCTTCCAAAGTTCTCTTGTTTTTACAAATTTTACGCTCTAATTCGGGCTTGTGGTGGGACTTGCGTACATGCCTTTTTATCTTACCTTTTTACGATTTTCATTTCATATTTTTATGTTTGCAGGCAAAGATAGATGTCCTTTAGAAGACTTCAAAACATGATTCCTTTTGTGCGCTAAATACAAAAAAGAACGCATTTTAATATGCAGTATTTTCTTCTGTCCTTTTTACCCAAACACCTTGCTTTGGTCACTCCAGGGTCCTTGAATTCGTAGGATTTTGGTCTTCGAAAGTCAGAATTCTGAGACTAGGAAAATAGATCATATTGTGCTCACTGGAATGTGTTAGCTTTTTCGCTGACGTTTCGGATAGCTGGCCGGCTGTCCTTTATCAAAGCGTAACTGACTTTATTGATCAGCAATTGTAAGTGGTGGCTGTCCATGGAATTGTGGTCTGTCTGCCTTTTAAGTTTGGACATTCGAGTGAGGGCCGTTTATTTATATCGGTGTAACGGAAGCGATTTTTATGCTACAACTGTTATCTCTTGTGATGGAGGATAAATCTGAGGTCTTACTTGTCCTTAAAGCTCTGTTGTCCAGGTAGACATTTGGTGGAACCAGATTCATAGGCGCTTTAAACTTCCCCTGGTATTAATGACTTTCATGGCCACCTAAACAGAACGCAGACATGAGAACGCTCCGCTCACTTATAACGGGTAGCCTACCCTAAACATAACCCTACAATAGGCACAGATCTGAACATTAACCCCTCACCTCACCTTCATCCAAATCCTAATTTTCCTGGAATTTGGCCCCAAGTAACATTGTAGGAGTCTAAGCCGTGAGTGCGCTCAAAACACTACAATTATCACGCTCAGTACCCTACAGGAAGAAGAGGGGTAAGAACACTAGGAGTTGTTTATTGTATGCAGGAACTCAGTGGTGATCTGAAGTCGCGACGCGCGGAAGGCCGCGGGCCCTGTGCGCACGGGCGTCTGTCTGTTGGTGTGCTGTGGGCGTAAGTGAATAAACGTCATG